ACAGACTGCCATAATAAAAAAGTTTTGATCAAGTTTTTGTCATTTGTATAACTGCTATTCTGACCTCTTAATGATCTCTACAGGATTCAGGTAAAACCCCCTTCTTTAGTAACCCATGACCAGCTTAGGATGACTTAACTATTTTCATCAGCCTCTGCTTACTGCCATGTTCTCATATGCTCGATAACTTCTTCCGAAGTTTCCATTGAATATTCCATCGCACTCCTGTCTCTAATTTCTAGGCATGGAAAGACTGATGCGAACAATGCTTCCGTGCTGTGTGGACGCTTATGACCTTTAGTCACATCCTATTTTTGTATCGTGTAGTAAAAATTTTCACAGCTAATCTTTCCGAGGTAGGTTGCCGCTAAATCACACTCTGACCAAAAAGAGAACTTTAAAACTCAAACGAATTTCCCCTTTCCTGCCGCATTCCGTGGGAAGCGGAGGGGAGGGGGGGGGAGAAAGAGATCGGCGAGGGGAGGGTAGGGTTGATCTGACTTAACGAGCATGCCGGGAATGATTTTTAGCTACACACAACCTTGGCACCTACGACCACTTACTTGAACATTCAAACAAAACATAGCACCAGAAACTATAGTCAATATACTAATGAACTTCAGCAATTGTCAGGAATTTACCAAAGAGGATAGTTTTCGACTTGCGCTTTTGCTAGAGCCAAACTATTTTTATCCCATACGACTTACGTCATTACATATTTGTAACCGTGAGAACAGAAGGGGTTCTGGGAATGAAAGGAAGCCATTGCTTTAACTAGTACGTGCTCGAAACGTTGTCTACATGTTTCTAAGAGTCATTTATACATCTATCTAAGCAAAGAAGTGGGTCTTGTCCGCAAGTGATTCAATTAAGAGATCGAAATTTCAAATGCATGCTGTCGTTTGAGGTAAGATTAAACTCGGTATTGATAGTTATTGAAGAACCATAACTTAGGGCCTGATTACATGAGCCGGGCTGGCCCGGTTAGCCGGGCTGATTTCTTTTGTTTTGGCGTTCACCAAAGCGTAATCAGGCCCTTAGGGCCTGATTACATGAGCCGAGCTGGCCCGGTTAGCCGCGCTGATTTCTTTTGTTTTGGTGTTCGCCAAAGCGTGAAAAAAGAAATCGCCAAAAGCGTGAAAAAAGAAATCAGCCCGGCTCATGTAATAAGAACGAAGAAACTAAAGTAAATATGGCAGGAGATGCAAACATTGTCATTGTATTGTAAATGGTTTGGAATTCCAAATTTGAAAGGAAAGAAAACCACCATAAATTGCTTTCTAACTTTCAAGACTATGATGAAACGGATTATTATTCAACTTCTGGGCGACAAAAAATAGAACATGTGACATGTTTCCGCTGTGACAAATCTAGCCGCAAGTTCTCCTTCATTGGTGGAAAATAAATGCCAACTGTCATTCGATTGCATGCAAATTCGAGTACATAGACAGGCTTTTTTTTCCTCGAAGTTTCCTTACCAGCTAAGCAAGCGAAGTGACATCCAGACATTGGCATTGTCTGCTATG